AAAGTATCAAGTATAATTACGATTTCTTAAATTTTCTCTCTACACAGAAACGTTTCTTTGGGTACAAATTTGTATCTCTTAGAGTGGAATGCAATGAAATATTAATTAAATGTGACTCCTTATAACCGCCTTTTAGATTTAGTAAAAGGAAAAACCGGCGTTCTGGTTTCTCCTCAAGAAAGACGGTTCTCAGATTTTACACCCTTACGGCTCGGCTGGGGTCCAAACAATATATTCGTTTAATATGCAACCTTTTACTTTAATTTTAACGATAGGTAATAAACATTTAATTGCGGCTTTTATATTTTCCTTATTTGAAAACGATTTTTTGCTTTTCAGGGTAGATTTCACGTGTGCCAGAAACTTTTATTGGCGAACACGAATCTTGTAATCTCTTACTTATAGGAGAAAGCTCCGGTTTTAATTTTTGTTAAAAGTGTAATCGCCGCTTTTATTTTTCTCTAAACCTAAGGATGCGTTTTTTTTGCTTTTGAAGGAGATCTCAAGGGCAGAGTACAATAGAATGCGATTGCTGAATATACAGGGTCGCTGTTAAAGATGGAACCAAAGCTCTCGCGCTCAAACGGTTTGAGATATGGACATGAACGCTTCCATTTGAAATTATTTAACATATTTTGAGATTGAAAACCTTTTTTGAGTTGCAACCCACATCTTGAATTTTGGCAACATAGGCCATTATTGATTATTTCATTAGAAAGCTGAGGACGCTGTATTTTTTTTCTCTTTCTTTTTACCCTAAACATGTACCCCGTTAAATTAGAAAATTGTGACGATTTTTTTTACCGTTTTTTATCTTTGCTCTGGCATTCATTTAAATTACGATGTGGAATCGCCGCTCAAATAACATTAATGCGAATTCTTGACTTTATACAGCAATCCTTACGCCGTCTAGGTGATTATTTCGTTAATTGTGAATATAGCTTTCTTTTATAATCTTCCCGTAATAGATTTCTTGTCGTGCGTTTTCTACCATTTGTATCGACGCGCCTAATCCTAGGCGGAAACTAGTATTCGATTCTTACTTTGTAAGCAGTTACACGCCATTAAGTTACTTGACTTTTTTGTCTACCATTTTGTGGGATATACTGGTGTTGTATTAAGATTAGTGAAGTTATTATCTTACTTCCAAGCTTCGCTGACGCACTTTTGCGGATTTATCGTACAAGTTTAAAGCCATTTCAGGCTTCTTCCTTCTTGCTTCTTACTTCTTACTTTACTCATTGCTTCCTGATTATCTACCTGATTGTACTGTTAACAACGATATTTCTAAGTGGAAACGCTGAAGTTTGGATTTTCGCAATATTGTACAAGGAAAAACACAAGGTTGCTATGGGTAGCAGGAGGGCTACGAAAGCTCTAAAGGCTCTGAAGGTTAAATACAGTTTCAGTCACATTCCACCAAACAAATATTCGTAATGTAACCTTTAAGTTTTTATTTGGTCGATTGGAATCCATCGAGCTTAATTTGTTGGCTTCGTTATATTTATCATAGACACACATTATTTTAAATAGTATCTGGAAATGGTGTCGTGTTACATGATAAAAAGAGGTAATATGAGGTTTCGCATCTTACGCTGCCAGATAAGTTCCTTCGAGAAAGATAAGTAAATGTCTGCTGTATCCACGTTTTTTGTAGACCACCTTAAATGCAAATTAACATGGGATCGCCGCCATTGCTTTCCACCATGAAATAGACGTTTTAAGTCAGCTTAGTATAAAAAGAGGGGATGCGTTTTTCCACGAGATTAAGAGAGTCTCGTTCTGGCATCCGAAGAGTCTTGGTCAGTACGGCGTTTTAATACAGTGGCCTTTAGAGCCCCAGTAATGAAATCCAGCGTTGGATATTTACTGAGCTTCAAGCTAAGAAAATAGTCCAATTCAAAGTGACCAATTTTATTTGCCCAAGTGGAGAAGTTTGTATTTAAAGGAGTCAAGGACGGATTTACGTACAAGCAGAACAAGCACGTGTTTGGGACCCCTAACCCAAGGGGGCCCCCGGCCTAATTAAAATGTCGCGTAGAGAAGGTTGCAAAATGGTTTAGTATACAGTGTGATTGATTTTGCGTGTCCAATTTATTTATTATTGGACAAGAAAAAATACTCTTTCAATATCTGATAAAGCTACATATTAAAAAAAACAAATTTTTAAATAGAATAGTTACTTCTGTCCATAATATTCTTAAAGAGCTAGAAATTCTTTTACAGTGGTACCAAATATGTTATAATTACCTTAGAAATTAAAGTTACAGCAATGTGTTTAAAACCAATCGCAGTAGCTGTGGAAATTTAAACAAAAACATAAAATTTACAACAGGAAGTGAAGAAAACAAATAAATAGCAGCTACAGGAATAATTATTATAATTTAAGACAAATTTAAACACATTTCACTTGCTTGCTATGTATTATCATTACATGATTACATTACATCTCTTAACATTGTTTCATCATTTGTGTAATTATTATTTTGTTGCATTGTGGTTCTTTAAGTTATATTGTTTATCATATCACACATCACAAGTGAAAAACTCTCTTTTGTTTTTTGTTTAAATTTCCACAGTCACTGCGATTGGTCTTAAAATTATTACTGCAGCTTTAATTTCTAAGTTAATTATAACATATTTGATATCATTGTAAAGAGAATTTCAAGCTCTTTAAGAAAACTACACAAAAAAGTATGTCCAATAAATGGCTTATTATTATTATTGTTATTATTATTATTATTAAGTAACCGTTCTATTTAAGAAAGTTAATTTGTTTTCTGCTGCTCTTTTGTTTTTATATCACTTATTTTTTGGAATATATAGCTTTATCAGAAATTGAAAGGAGTATCGTTGTTAAGAAATCATCTGATATCTTCCTCAATGTGCTAAACCACCCCACTAGCTGTAAAAAAAACTTCAGGTCTCCACGTCCAGGGAGAAGTCGCTCACATAAGGGTAGTTATGCGATTGTTTTGTAAAACTAATTCGGTAGCTTTACAATTATTTGGATAAAAGAAATTTTTGGCTTATCGTTATTACCATTAAATGGTAAACGGGGGATCGTAAAATTATGGAATACTTATATAAAAAAATTGTTTGTATATTTTTGTATTTTTATCTAAAGAAATCTCTGAGTTTGTGACCAGTCTTTTCAGACTTTGTTTTTTTTTCGTGGAGTGTAAGCTAATTCCAATTAAACCTCAGATTAAAGGGATCGAACTGATTATTGTATCAACATAAAACAAATTTAATTGCATTTGAATTATCCGTCATTAACCCATCAGTGGAGCAATTTAGGAAACCCCCAGATGCATGGTATTGCAAATTTCCAAATTGTTGCTACTTTTCAAAAGGAGAGAGTCAACTGTCGTTTGTAGAACTCCTATAAATTTAAGTTATTTTGAATGTTTGCACTGTGTAACAATAGGAATTCATTTTTGGGATTTTGTATAAAAGAAAACTTGAAGTCAAGTGGTGATCTGATCATTAATTATTGTGAAGTGGAATTTTAAGTTCATTTACACGAATCTTTTGCGTGGGTTAAATTTTATTTAGCATTCAGAGGTGTGCAAATTTATCAATAACTTCGAGTACTTAGACGGTATAAGAAGAAAAATGTGACATGGGAAAGAAAATTCATAGAAGTTGATAGGTGGCGCTAAATCTACGGAAATATGAAGGCGTAGAGAAACAACTATAGGAGTCATAAGCACACTAAGTAGATTATTTGAGAAGATTAAATAGTCTACAACCAAACAACAATAAACATTTAAAAAAGCCAAATTTTTCAAAAGGTAATTAACGAGTTTCCTCTTCTCTGTTTACGTAATGGATTAATTACGAATAATGCAAATGCCTACTTGATGGAAGAAATTAGTTTCGCAAATATCAATCCGTTAAATTATTGATTAAGTGTATCAGAAAGAGTGAAATCTCAAAGTTTATACCGGCAAGAAAAGTGAGATCTCGTGGAAGCCATAAAGGAACTTCATTTTATAAAGATATGTCACATTTACATTTTAGGGGTGAAAATTCTACATACTTCTACGTCACGCCGAACAAACGTGTAAAGTAAATATTTAATCCCACCAGTGAGTTCGAAATATTTTTAACACAATTTATTGTTTTTTCAAACGATGCCATTTTATTTTAATTCGTCGAAAATGAGAACAGAAAGTAATAATTAAAACAATCCGGACTGCTGAAAAAATGCTTGAAATTGTATTTGAATTATTGAAGTTGGGATAGTGATTTCCCTTCATTCTCCGGGTTCGCTACCCCTTCGTGAAAGGATAAATTTCGCTATATTAAAACACAACTTTCTACTCGTGACTAATTGTTTCTGGACAACAATGGTGAAACATCATTTTTAGATTACCTACAACATTCTTCCATTGCTAAATTTCGCGAGCGAAATAAATCATCGAAAAGCGAATGTTTAATTTATTCCAGATTTGAATATGTAAACTGGATTGCAAGTTAATCTTGCGGTGTTTTCTCTTTTATATACCGAATGCGGGGGCTTTGTACTTTGAATTCCATACGACATAATCCCCTTCGAAATCAGTCTTTAAATTGCCAATTAAAAATATTGGAACGAATTTTCAAAAAACGTTTTAACTTAATGCGTTTTATTTACAAGATCGATTTATATAAATTCATAAACATAAAAATGTGACCGAAAGGAAATGAAATCAAATATCGCAAGCTTTTAGTTTTTTTTTCGGAAGAAAATTCGGAAGGAAAGTGGCAATAATTTGGACTGCCTAAAACAGTAAAGAAGGCTAAATTACTTGCCGTTCAAAAACATAAAATCGGAATTTGTCCAATTATTAATAATTTATTTTCCTGTCTTAAAAAAGTGTTATTGTCTTGTTTTTCTTGCATAGCGAAATACGGTCGTCTATAAAAATTTATTAACTTGTTTTCTGTTTGGGTCCAAAAAAAGCGCTGTTTTCGCAAATTTGATTTGTGAGGTTCGAAATGTTGTTAGTTACCTTTATGGCAGAGGAAAAGTGTCAGGATTTGAATAATCCACAAACGGCATGTCATTGTTCACCTCACTTTATAACTACATCGCAATAACAGGCGCTAAAGTAGTTTTCACTTTCCTTTAATGAAAGTTTGTATGTGCGCTATTAAGGGATGTCGGTGAAAATTCATTTTTAAACACATACGCGAACGCGTGAAAACGATACTCGTGACTTCTCGTGCGTATCGAGGCAAGGGTTACGATGATGTGACGGAACAACCCCTACTGTTCGGAGTAAATTGTAGGGGGTGCGCAAGCGTTTCCAAAAGTAAACTCCCGCCGAGCCGTCTCTTTACTTCACTCTAAATTTCCAGCATCCGAAGAAAATGTAATTTACCGACTCCAGGCGTTAATTCTTAATGCGACCAAGTAGATTTCATTACGGTTCCAGAAACACAACTTTTTTTAAATGGAGCCTTTTCAAAACGAAATTATGTTCTAATGCGGCCTTTTTAGCAAAAAGCTGAAAAGCAAATAATACGTTCGGGAAAGGAAGTATTTATATTACATTTTATTTCGCCCGCGGAATACTGTTTTTCTTAACAATTATTTTAATGGGTCGCGCCTGCTACGTCGAATTGAAAAGGATGTTGGACATTAACTAATTTGAGCTTGACCCGTACGCCTCTTTGAGCGTACCCACTTCTATAATTCGATCAAATCAGTGAAATTCGTCTTTATAAATCACCCGGAGGTAGAGATTTCCACTAATCAACATAATTCTGGCCTTCAATCACAAACTCTTCTGTGCCCGAGGGAATTTCGGGCACCTGCTTGGAATTGAAAGTACGTATCTGTACCGCAAGAGCTTAATTTACCGATGTGCGTTTTCATCTTTTTTTACGTGTCTAGATAGTAACTCTCAATTACGTCACGAGACCAATATTATTTATTACAAACCCCTAGCTTTGTTTAATTAAAGTTTTGGACTCGCCCTCCAAATATACGTACATTACACACAATACATAGGTAGGTACGCATCCAATGTAGGTACAGAACCTTTACTAAATTGGACTTGAAGAAATTCAGATCAGGTTGATTCATTGGGAAATCTACATTAAGTTCTATGAAATGGAAAATTGAATTCTTTACTAGTGATTTATATCTTTCTTTATAGATAAAACCCAAATTCTTGTAATAAAATACGTAACAACCACCAAATATCTTGCCCGTTAGCGTTACGAGGCATTATCAAAATGTCAATTAATTGTCACTAAATTGTTGTAACTTTGCGTGCAACAATAGTTATTTACATAAAAGTCAGGAAAATGATACATTACTGGCGAGGAAATATTGAAGTGCGAGGCCCCTTCGGGGCCGAGTACTTTAATTTCCGAGTTACCTAGGTAATGTCATTTTACTGACGAGTTTTGTATTAAATTTTACCCGAAATCTTTTTTAATATAAAATTTCAATGTTTATATAGAACTTTTGATTAATGTCAATCTGTCAGTGATGACAGGAGTCATTATAGAAATTTGGAAATGTCACAAATGCGGCCGGTAGAGTGACAAACGGCAGGAAACGTAGTCTGCTCTGCCTCTGTCATAAAAACTAAAATTTCCTGACAAAAAGTAGGCATGTAAATGAAGGTTTTTAAACTTCCCTTTATGATTAGGAAATGTTGCTAGTCCGAATTAATTGTTAACAAAAAAAAATAATCTCAATACGTTTACGAACTAAGACTGAGAATTTGTTTACTTCAATTTTGGGAAATAATTTTGATGGTGTGTGTCTTGTTGAGACTTGGTTGCACAATGGAATTTGTGACAGAGAGTTGTTTGATACGAGGTACACAGTGTATAGAATAGATCGTGATGGAGGATTGGGGAACAGAAGAGGAGGAGGAGCTCTCATTGCGTTGAGATCGACCCTGCATCCTTCACTACTTCTAAGCTACACATCGTATAATTTAGATTTTAATTTGTTCGTTTAATGTTAGTGGGTCTAATTTTATTTTAGCCTGTGTATACTTTGCTCCAAATTGTAGTAATCAGATATATGAAAACTTTTTTGTTCAGATCGATAATATAAAAAAAATGTTAAGGAATAGTTCAAATCTACTTGTAATAGGGGATTTTAATATTTCAAATTTCTCTTCTGGTTATAATTTTAAAAATAATTATGTGGATTGTAAATGGAAGAGTATTCATAATTTTATGGACCTATATGCAATGGAAAGCTTTAATTCAATATTTAATAGTAATGGTAGGACTCTTGATTTGGTGTTGACTAATGTACATAGGGTGTCTGTAACCCGGGATGTTGTACCTTTAATACGTGAGGATTTGCATCACCCAGCTTTGAATATTTTGGTTCATGCTCCAAGAAATCCATTTACTACATCTAACCTTCAAAATTTGAGTAGCGAAATTATTTTTCTCCAGTTTAAGGAAGCAAATATTAAAAATGTAAAAAATTGTATCCAAGAGTGTGACTGGAAATCTCTATATACTACAACTGATGTTAATTTAGCTCTTGAAATGTTTTACGATAATTTAAATAAAGTTTTTGATTTGTTCGTCCCTAAAAGTACATATAAATGCGAAACAAAATCACCCATTTGGTTTAATGATGATTTAAAATTACTATCTCGTAAAAAAACAGATTAGCAAAAAAGAGAAAGCACTCTAGAGATTCGGAAAATTCTAAAATTTAAAATAGCGGAAGCATATGAAATGAATTATGATAATGCCAAATTTAAGGGGTCAGAAATTCCTGATGCCTTTGCTAAATTTTTTAAATCGGTACATCCAACTGAGAACTCGAGTTATGATCTGGAGAAGTTGAATGATGATAGTAGTGAGGAATCCAACTTACACTCAGATAAGTTTTGCCTTAAAGTTGTTGATAACAGTGTCACTTCCAGAGCAATAGACCAACTTAAAAATAAAATGAGTAGTGGACCCGATGGAATTCCGACATTTTTTCTTAAACAATTAAAAGATGTTATTTGTGATAAACTGACATATATTATTAATTTATCCATTAAAAGTGGTACCTTTCCCACTCTTTGGAAAATGACAAAGATTACTCCAGTTCACAAATCAGGTCCCGAAAATGTAATAACAAACTATAGACCTGTATCAATTTTGAACAGCTCTGCGAAAGTATTTGAAAATGTTATTTATAAGTCGCTGATGGACGGAGTGAGGTGTTTAATAACTCCCTCTCAGCATCGATTTTATCCCGGCCAATCCACCGAGTCTAACCAACTACTGTTTTCTAATTATGTGCATAGAAATTTGGACGCAAGGGGTAGTTATTGATGTTGTGCTATGTCCGTTTTCTAAATTATGATTCTTTTAGATTTTCTACTACATCCGGGGTTCCGCAAGGTTCGAAGCTTGAGCCCCTATTTTTTATTATTTTTATTAATGATTTGCCAAAAATTTTTACCTCCTCTTGTCTCTTGTATGCTGATGATTTGAAACTTTACAAAGAAATAAACTCAGCTCTTGATGCATTGACTTTGCAGAAGGATTTAGATGCACTCAATAACTGGTGTATTAATAATAAATTAATGTTAAATATAAAGAAATGTTGTGTTGTGTCTATTTTTCGGAAAAAGCCGAGGCGCTCTACTGAATACAGAATTAATAATGAACGTCTTGAATCAGTTTGCACAGTGAGAGACCTCGGGGTAGTTTTTAATAATAACTTTACATTTGTAAATCATATTGATTATTTAGTAAGTAAGTCTTTCAAAATGATTGGGTTCATAAAAAGAAACACTAGACATTTTAGAAATACAAAGGAAATCATTATGTTATATTGTGCTTTTGTAAGAGCAAAGCTAGAATATTGTTCTACTATATGGGCTCCACATACAGTTAAACAAAGGATAGAAAAGGTGCAAAACTATTTTCTTAGATATTTATATTTTAAAAAATTGAATAAGGTTTGCCCAAGAGATCTTCCTTCTTTGATACTTCGGGGTCAAGCTAGTATGTGTAGTTTAAAAGTGCGAAGAGACATATCCAGCGTTATGATTTTGTATAAGATTATTCATGGCTTAATTGATTCTTCTGAACTACTATGTGAAATTAAATTTAATGTTCCAAGAACAGCTAATGTCAGAAATTACAACACGTTTTATATTCCCTGGGCTAAATCTAATTCGTATAAGGACTCGCCACTTTTGTATTCCATGAAATTATATAATTTAATTTCGAATAATGATACTAATATAGATATTTTTCACAACAGACGCAATTTATTTTAAAAAAAGTTATTTGAGTTATTATAGATCTAAGATTTCTATTCTCAAACCTATACATTAGAAAATTCAGTTATCTGGACCGTTTTGGGCTATGCCTGTGGTCTAATAGTATTATGTATTAATAATAATTTTTGTTAAATATTACGACTAATAAATGAATTCAATTGAATTGAATTGAATAGATAAACATATTTTGGATTCCAACTCAAGCTTGTAATAAAGCACCAGCGCTCTATGCAAATCCTATTGTCTACAATTTTTTTTGTAATTGTAAATCTAAATATTTCTAGCACACTAATTGTCGTAAATTGTCGGATATACCTACAATGAAAGAACCATTTATTAAATAAAATATTTTAAAAATATAGTAGTATAGATGCAATATACATTAAGTACCTAATCATCATTATATCATCTGGCATCATGATCATCATCGTTTCATAATACATATACAGTGATATTCATGTAGAAGTATGCATAGGGATTTCCTATATCTACTCTCAAATGAGAAAAAGTCTTCTGAAAGACGCCTAATTTTATGCAACCGAAATAACTACCTAAAACAAATGAAGATCTGGCTGTCATATTAACTATTAATTTGAATATTGTTGCTTTGGCTTCGCAGAAAATAAATCTCTTACTTCAATAAATATCGATTTTATTACCAAAAAGGCATTTGCCATTTTCTGATCGGCTCCAGAAGCTCTCGAGACCATTTAAAAAAAATTACCACTTTGACCTGAAACTGGGTGCACTTTTCATTTAAAAATACATACATTTGTTCAGGGGATAAACCTGTGAACTCTTCGGCAATGTAAAAATGACTTCAAATGCAAATTCCTTACATAAAAACCCCAAAAGCGATCTATTCCTATTTTTAAACAATACAAATATTCAAAGAAACTTACTTTTTTCGGTATATTGAAGTTTTCTCCAATTGTCAGTTGGATTTCTCCTCCTGTGTAACTGTCAAAAACGTGCCCTTGTAACGTAGGGTTTTAACAACAAACAAAAACCGTTTAGTTCGTACTTCATTTTTTACGACAAATTTGTGCACAACGAAATGGACTCACCTTGGACCCAAACGCTTTCGTAGTAAGAATTTATTTAATCGCAAGAATAATAAACCAAATATGTCTCATACGAAAAATGTTCGCTTCCGTATTAATACGGTAACGCATCGCAATATTCACGTTTGAAAATTATAGTAGCAGCAATGCGCAATGAAGTCCTTTTTCTGTGTAAACCAGACCCGTAGTATTAATGTACGTCTAATGGCAACTCGTAGCCAATTTAGAAGGCGCTCACGTTCGTTAA